TCAATTGCGAACTTTTCTTTTATGTACTCGAACATTGAATGTGACGGTTTTCCAATAACTATCGGTTGTTTCCCAGAAACGTATTCCACAGCAGCTACGTCCATACCGGAACCAGGGATTCTAATATCTAATTGTAAAAAACATTAAATCATAACTGTATGTTAACCTGGATGAAGGAAGACTGAATAAAGGAACGCGAAGCGCCAGAAATTAAACAGTTAACCACGACGAAAAGACTTGTTTTGAAGATGCTGAACAGCAAGTAAATTCAAGTATTGCTGTAAATTGACTGCCACGTAAAGAAACAGTTTAACTCATTCGTAAAGCTAACTTGGATTTGAACCAGGGAACGTCGCATCTTTATTTGTGGCAAAAAACTTGACTCCTTCCTGGTGCACATAGTTGCTTGCCTTCATCAGTTTTACGTAGTTAACATGTATATCATAGCTAACAATCACAGCACGCACTGGACGTGAGACGTCGATATCGCGGATGAACAGAGATGAAGTGTAATTTTCGACTGGATCAGGGCCAACTCCAAAACTCCCTATCCCCTTTTTTGCTAGCTCTTGCTGTAAAACAAGACAAACTACATAGCTCCCAAGCAGCGTCATATTTTTTCAATTACGCACTGTCTGTACAGAACCACTATATTAAAGTGAATAAGAAAAGAAGCGTGACGATAGGGAAAAAATATTTCATCCAAATTTCTGCGCTGGAAATAACAATTTACAAGTTTACTTTCGGCGACAACCAATATTCAACCTCAAATGCTGCCCAAAGTTAGCTTAAGAATGGTGGAAACAGAGCTCCTATAACTATTTAAGAAGTATAGAAGGTTGAACTAAGAAAAATGAAGTGCTGTTCATAATCTGAGAAAAAGAGAAGAACATGCGCACATAAAACTCTCTTTTCTAGTTTGGGTAACTTAAAGTCTTCAGTTCTAAGATCTTTGAAGCTCAGCTAATACTAGACGTATTAAACTGCTATCTGCTGATTTATACCCTCTCTCTTCTTGTTCCTAACTTTCGAAACCATTTTTTGAAAAAAAAATTTGGATGGAACGTTTCCAGTAGAAATGTTAAAGATGTACAAACAGTATTTTAATACACCTGACTTATAAAAGTAAAAACAACATTTTTGTACCTGAAGTGCAGGGGAACCAACTATATATACAGGAAGGTCTGACTTTTCCTTCGAGAGTAGGTGAGACAAGACAAGGGCTGGATTAACAATGCTGTTATCCGTTATCATATCAAAACCGAGTTTCCGACACTTTAACATATAATCATTCAGTGTTTTTGTTGCGTTATTAGAAACAATAAATACATTTTTACCTGCAAATACATGTTTTTGGTTGCGGTAGCTGTTTAAAGGTGCAAATGTCGACTCTTAAATACGCTACTGTAGACTTTAAGCATAAGTAAAGATGACAACGCAAAAAATATTTACATTATTAGCACTCGCGAATCTCAGTTCTGACTTTGCACAGCAAGCTGACGAAGATAATTTATATACTAAGTGATAAAGTTTAAGAAACAAAGACTACCATAAAATTAAGAACTACCTTTGTCAACCAGAGAACGTAAAAATTCTACTGCTCCAGGAAGAGGACGGTCACCAACCCAGAGAACACCGTCTGCATCGAAGAGGAAAGAATCAAAAGACTTGATGAGTTCCAAGCCGGTTACCTCTTTGGTGTCTTCCATTTTCCTTAAGGAAGAACACTATCCGGAGTAAAACTTTTTCACAGTTAAGACAGGAAAATCCGCATCAACAGCAAACAAATATAGCTAAACAAAAAAAATCACTGCACTGAAAAAAATTTTTCCATGTGCACGACGAATAAAGCGTTTTGAGAAGACCTTAAATAACGCGTTAATACAAAAACCAATCTATTCTCAAGTAAGCAAAAGCTTTCCAAATCCAAGTTTACAGCAGTTATAATGCTGATCATCTAGCGGTGATACTGCTACAGCATGTACTGAAACCCGTTAAAAGACCAGAAACAATGGCGATATTTATTACTGCTTCTATAGTCAAGAAGCATTAAAATCTACATTAAAACAACGGTGTACTAAACAATGACGAACTGTTCGGTTAAACCGAAACAACTTGCTAGTGACTGAAAATCACAACCCTAAATTAGTTTAGCAGAAGACAACAATCAACGAAGAGAATTAGAAAAACAGTAGAATTTTTGAGTTTAAAAAACCTTCATGGAAATCGGAAATTTTTAAAGGAAAAAAGCATTCAGTTGCTCAGCCTTTGAACATCACAAAAAAGACCAAACAGCTTTTTTTTTTCTAGCGAAATAACAATTTTTTCTTGATACATATATCTTAGTTTAGTCAATGACAAAAGTGGATATCCCAAATTTCCAATAGATACCTTATGAATACGTTAATTCGATAAGTATGCGATGAGAAAGATGAAGCCTGATGAAGCCGTTGTTAGCAGCTGGCAAAAGCTCAGGAAAAGTAAATAAAGCCAAACTGAGAAAAATGCGGATCGAGTAAACGGAAGTTTCAAATGCTGTAATGATAGACCAGGAAATGTGCATAAACTCAACGGTTTCTTTCATCTGTTTTAATAAAAGTAGATTCTGCAGTATCTTGCAGTCCTCACGTTAACAATCACAAAAAAAACTATACGTTATGACGCAGTTGCAACAAATGTTTGATAACAATAAATCGTACTGTGGCCAACGACCATATTGCCTTCGATTGTATACCATTCTATCCCGTAGAAGTTTTACTTCTGGCCATCGGTTACGAATTCTGAACATCAAGAATCCTGTAAATAACAGTTTAGTTTATACAGTACAGACATTGTACCATTTTTGTTTGAATTCTAAAGAAGCAAAAATCAGTGTATCTTAGTAGATTTAGTTTTTTCAGTAGCATCATTGCATAAAATTTTAACCCACATCTCTGAAACAGTTGGATACACGCCACCGAAATTACTCCTTCGCCGATGTGACACTGTCAACTAACATACCCTAATATCCTAATAAGCTAATTAAGTCAAAAATCATTGAGAATTCCATTAACTTCGGTGATAAAATCAGAGCGAAAAAAAAAACTGCTCATTAGCACTATCAGTCTTCAAATGTCAATAACTGTGAATGGAATTTTTCTTCACCAAAAAAACATCAAAAACCAGGTACAATAAAATTGATACTTTAATGGTCGAAAGTTGGACAAAAACAAAAAACATCTGTGTTATCATTAAGGTTCATAGATCTTTCTG